GCGGTTCAGACGGTTCACCATCCAGACGCGGGGGTCGACCTCCATTCCACTGGCGGGCTCGGCCGCTGGCGGCATTGGGCGGCCAATTCTTAACCGGGCAACACTTGGCGGAATCCAGGGCCGGTGGCCGACGGGTAACCACCAGGCGCGTTGACATCTGGGAGGCACTTACTCGGGAACCGGCGCCAGCCGGCTTCGGGCACGGTCAGATTTTGTCAGGGCGGTTTCTTTCCGAGTGGCTTCTCGGGCGAAGGAACCCAGGAACAGCCGGCCCTCAGCCTGACGGTCGACCGAGTCGCTTCGCGGGCACGGATCCCAGCCTTCGGCTGCGGTCGGCGTTGGCTGGGGCGCGCGTATCCCCTGCAGAGACTAGAAGTTTCCAATACAACCAACCTTTGCGGTTCGAGCGCTGTGCCTGAAGCCAGACTACTACGTTTGAGATCCTGCCTGTATGCTACACAGTCTCGAACGTTCTAACACATTGGTTTCTGTCGAACTTGACTTGGTGAGTCCATCGGCTCGTTTGTCAAGAGAAACATATCCTGCTCCCTCTGCTAGATTATCGTCGTCAAATCTAAAGTGAGACAGTCCCTTTGCAATCTATCCAGAAACGATGACCCGCGAGGAGTACAGACCCGCGACTGCGGTGCTCACGCCGCCCAGAATGAAGTGCCGCTGCCTGCGCACGCGCAGTATTTTCCAGAGGCTGCGAGCCCGATGCGGTCTAGCCATGCAGCACGCGTTCCCCAACGGCTGACGCCGCCAGACGGAGACAGCCGCAGCTTCACGCGCGAGGGCAGCGCAACGGAGAGGCCGGCATCGACTGACGGCGCGGGCGCACGGCCAGCCAGGAGACCCAGCGACACAGCGTTCACGCGAGCAGCGCGACGGAGAGGGAAGCACTGAGCAGGGCGCCGGATACGATTTCGATGGTCGCGGAGGCGCGCGGAACGATGCCGGCTTCCAACCGGCCCTGCGCTCTCGATTCCCTCGGGTGCATCTCCGGGGCAGCTTCCACCCTGCCACGAGGCGCTCTCGCGCGTTAAAGCAAAACGCTGAAAGCATTTCAGAATTGCTCTGACGAGCCTGCGAACGGAACGGAAACAGGCCCCCCGCCCAAACGGGTTCGACGCGATTGTACACGGGGTCGCGTAGACCTACACCCCGCGCAACCAATACGCCTTCAGCGACCAGGAAACGGGCATTCACTCGCAGAACACGCAGGAAGATATACAGAAACGCTCACAGCAATGATTTCGAGCAGCCGACATATCAAAAACGTATACTAAGAGACATTTGGCGAGCGTGCTGAGTGTGAGAAAGCGTCCAATGTTTTTCCAAGCCTTAATCACCACGTCGATTTCGCAGCAGGTCGCTACGCCAACTAGACGTTTCGCTGCGCCTTTGTTCTCGTGAGTGTTAACGCAAACTGTGTCATCCACAAGTCTATGTATGTTAGGTGTGTGTGTGTAACAAATTGCACAGTGACGATTGATTGATATCATTGAATGGTGCGCAACAACCTGTTCTATAATAAAAGCACTAAATAACTTGCCGACTATTCGCACTTGGTAATATGTCTAAGTAGTAAGTCTCTTGGTAAACTAGCGTAATAAGTAATGGTTGGATATCCAAAAATGCCTTCACGCTCCGCATTTGCACTGTGGCCACACACACACACACGCAAGACGCAGCACAACCACACACACACACACACACACATCACACACACACACACATACACAACACACACATACACAACACACACACACACACACACACACACACACACACACACACACACACACACACACTACACACATAACACTGGGCACGATCCAAACCACGCACGCACACACACTACACATCACACACACACAACACGACAGCACACACCACACACACGGCTGCGGCGCGACGCACGCACACTCGGTACCCTCCCCCCCGAGACACAACACACACATCACGCACACACACAAACACACACACACACACACTGGGTGACACCGCCACGCCCCCCACACACACACACGCACGTACACACACACACACACACACACACACTACACACACCACACACATCCACACACCACACACACACACATACGGCGCGCCGAGCGCGTGCGTTTTTTCCTAATACCGTTAAAACGATAACTAAGTTTGTGCAAGCTATATCTATTATCTGCGTACATCGGATAACAGTCCTTTAAATAACAAGTAATCTGACAGCTGTCGGTTGTGTGACCTGTGTGTGGGCATTACCGTCGGTCATAGACAAACGCTCAAAGATTGTTTCACACTTAGCACGCACGCCACGCACGCACGCGACGGCACACACAACACGCCACGCACGCACGCACACACTACACACCACAGCACGGCACTTACTACACACACACACACACACACACAGAGGCACACACACAACACTACACACACACACACACAGCACCACACCACACACACACGCACGGCACGCACGCACACACAACGCACACAGCACACACAGGCATACACACACACACGACCACACCACGCACGCAGACACCATACATCGAATGTTAGTTCGCACGCCACGCATTACTGTTCGTCTACCATAGGACCCCGCGCCAACCCGCTGGTGAGGACAAATAAAAGCTGCCCTTTGCATATTATGATTATGAAATAGAAAATGCCATTTAAATGTATTACTATGAACGGTGTGACCAAAATATTCGATAGGAAATAAAGCAACTGTGCTGTGTAATGAATAGCGAATGCACACGTATTTTCAATAGAAATCTTTACATATATGCGAGCTACACTCGGTTTCATTTATCATCTCATTAGCATATGTGTCAATCCCGCAGTCAAAATGAATTATTCATGGCATTGTTTAGTATTACGGATTAGATTAGGATTCTGATCTGGGCACATTGTTTAAGTGTGTTTATTGTATTACTCTGCTGAAAAGGGAGCATGTAATTGAGATAAAGGTACAGGTTAGAACACAGGATAGTTTGTCAAGTAGTAATCATGAGAAATAATATAGCGGACGTAGACGCGATTCGCCCATCGGCCCTGTACTTAACACAAATGACAGCCGAGCAAGGCGACGACAGCGCCTCGCAAAACGCTAGGCAGACATAATCGTCAACACAAATGGCGTTAGGGAAATTTATTCGTTTTGCATATAAAAATTTAGGTTTATAAAGCACAAAAGATGTACATGAATAGAAATAAACAAAAAATTTTTGTGTCTCTATTTCATATTTCTAGTGGTACCTAACGCATCCAGCTAGGAGCCTATGGTGGCCTCGAACAGTTATAATGATCGTTAGGAATACGATACTATTATATTTTGAGGCTGTAGCGGAAACTCCACGGCTCATATTCACATGAAGTGCGCAAAACTCACATGCGAATCGCACAAATTGAGTATCAGTGATGCATAGGACTATGGAAAAGCAGTTAAGTTGATTTGCCAGTCGGGATCATATTGTGAACTTCGGCGCTGTGCGTACTAGGGTCATGTTGGGCGCGCATGCGGTGTGTGCTGATAAGCCCACCAGATAACAGAAAAGTTCCCGCCGTGGATGCATTATTGTCTCTTGCCGCGAACCAGCAGAGTTTTCTTGGCGCATTTAAGATAACTGGATTGCGGAAATAACTGGATATTGGATAACTGAGATTTGAGATGGGAGCATGGGAACGCATGCGTGATAGAATAAAGCTCGGTTTGCCACTTAATAGTAGATAAATTAGATGAAAGTAAATATCTTTGCTAAAAGCCCTGTCTACACTAGCAAAAAAAAAAAAAATAAAAAAAAAAAAAAAAAAAAAAAAACAAAAAAAAAAAAAAAATAAAAAAAAAACAAAAATAAAAATAAAAAAAAAAAAAAAGAAACAAAAAAAAAAAAAAAAAAAAAAAAAAAAAAAAAAAAAAAAAAAAAAAAAAAAAAAAAAAAAAAAAAAAAAAAAAAAAAAAAAAAAAAAAAAAAAAAAAAAACAAAAAAAAAAAAAAAAAAAAAAAAAAACCAAAAAAAAACCAAAAAAAAAAAAAAAAAAAAAAAAAAAAAAAAAAAAAAAAAAAAAAAAAAAAAAAAAAAAAAAAAAAAAAAAAAAAAAAAAAAAAAAAAAAAAAAAAAAAAAAAAGAAAAAAAGAAAAAAAAAAAAAAAAAAAAAAAATAAAAAAAAAAAATACTTTTAGTTTTGCAAACTCGAGCGCAAACTCCGAGTTGTTAAGTTTGGGAGAACGTTTGTGGAGCCTGTCACACATATTGGTACTGACTACACGTACATACTGCCGTTACTGACTGTGAATTCCAATGTTTCAATGGTCCAATGTTTGTCTACTGCGAGGATCACATGACTACAAACTGTCATTTGATTGGCCCCTGAGTTTATTCCACCTCAGCACTCGAAGCAAAGACTAGGTTTGTCAAGAAGGTGCCACGGTCCTTAACTTCTGCAAACTTCTGCAAACTAGTTGCCGAAGTTTGTCAACTGTCTACACTGGAAAACTTTTGGAAAACTTTGCTTGCCAAACTCGAAGTTTGCTCGAGTTTGCCCAAAGCTAACAGTTTGCTGTGTAGGACAGGGCTTAAACGTCGTCTATCAAGCCCTAGTCCTAAAACGGTGGCACAGTGGAAGTATAGTTGTTATAGAACAATGCCAATATAACGAAATGGTACAATTGCATGTATTGCAAAAACAAATTAAGTGTTTTGTGACTATACTCAACAGCTGACCCACCCCCTGGTTAGCCACCTGATTAATTATTATTATTATTATTATTATTAGTTTATTTCATGAGATTAGTAGCCTGACATTAAGATCATGGAATACGAACACACACACCACACAGCACACATCACACACACACACACACACCACACACACACACACACACACACACACCACTCACCTCACACACACACCACACGCACGCACGCCACACACAACACACACACACCACACGCACACACACATACGCCGCCGCGCGCGTGCGTTTTCCTAATACCCGCTAAAAATAACTAGTTTGGTTGCAGTATATCTATTATCGTTACATTCGGAACAGCCTCTTAAATAACAATAATTTGAAGCTGTCGGTTGTTGACCTTGTGTGCGCGCATACCGTCGCGCGGCAGACAAACGCAAAGATTTGTTTCACACTTTGGGGAAAACACTCGAAATTATTCCAGCTTATTACCAGACATTTTCAGAACGTACGTACCGCTTGGGATGGTATTATGTACATATGTTAGAGCCCTCGTCAATTATTTACACATAATAACCGTATCGCGGTGTTTGATCATAAGAATTATCTAACTAAAGAGAGACGACGAGAGGCACCCGCAGGCATACGTGGGGCATTATTTCTATTATATTGTTAACGAATCGCAGGCTGACATGGCGTTAATACACGTAAAATCATCAGACATTGGGAGACAATAAATCAGAGATGCGCGGAACCAAACGCACAGACGCCCACGCCGCACGCACGCAACGCACGCATATATCTACAATTTGCATTATTGCAAAAACAATAAGTACTTTTTGTGACCTTACCAGCTGGACCCACCCTCTGGATTACGCAGCCTATTATTATTAATTATTAGTAGTATTATTATTATTATTTTATTATTAGTTTATGAGATTATGTATCCTGAGATTAGAAATCTATGAATTTACAACAACACACACACACACACACACACACACACAACCACCACACACACCACACACACACACAACACACACACACACCACACACAA